TCTAAGTTCATCTGAAAGTTGCTTCTTTACTAGAATTAAAATTGTTTCATGTGAATGATGCACAACTTCTCGCATGCATTAACAATAGTTTTCTCCAGTAGAAATAGGTCTGCACTCATAATTCAATGAGTCAACCATCCCTCTGAACATCTCCTCAAAGCTGTAAATCAGATACAGCGTATTGAAGGGCCAGCATAACTTTTCCAAGGCATTTCTAAATTCTTGTACAATATGTACATGCCCTGAAGCCTCAAAGCAGCCACAACAAGCTTTTAATCGGTTGCTTTACCACTTGAAAAAATAAGTACATATTCAGCTTATGATTTCCATAAACCAAATAAGAGAATTCGGCAAGTACATTTAAGTGATTAATAATGGATGTCACAATACAAATGCTAGTATTCGTATTGTATTTCCAACTAGCGTGGGAAGAGAACATTTAGAAATATTTCTAATATATAGCAGTATCACAACCTACAGTGCAATCTGAATCTCATTTATCATTAAACAGATTAATGGTAAACAAACCACACATATACATATATATATGTATTGTGTCATATCTTTAAGGAAAGCATGGTACACACTTGTTCTGTTTGAAATCCTGAGGAATAATCATCTTTCTAATGGGGGTAAATTGAACCAGATGAAGACCATTAGATGCGAGTTGAAGAGTTTTTTTACCTATTACAGAACACATACTTTGGCTGCCACCAATGAAATCTACACTTCATAACATTTATGGAATAGAAACATAGTCCAACAACAAGAAGTTATCAGCAAATTCCAGACAAAAGCTTGTTGATATTTGGGAGGTTGGGAAGGACTAAAAAATGAGGCTTTCATCAATCCATGATCATCAGACAGTGTGTACAAGTGGAGATGCCACCCCATCTTGCTATCCAGTTTTTACTCTTCATAGAAGTACTTATTAGTGTACAATATTTCAGAATGGAACAAAGAACTCCAAGGTAATGACATGACACTTCTCAATGTCTAATATTAATGTTCATGAGTTTCTGATTGGGAAAGCACACAGCAAGATGTAAGAATATCAAAATGAAAACCACTTTTCTTCAGGAAGCACAACACCAAAGTGTCCAAAGACCCCCCTGGATCATCCAAATATAGTTTGTCAACAGATCAAATGAAAGTGGAACTTCTGGCACTAATGGGAAAAGTTATATATTAAAAAGCAGAACACTGCAATAAAATAATTTCATCTCATGAACATTTACAACAAAACACAGAAGCAGACCTGCAACTTCAGAATTTCAACATTTTTCAATAATCAAGGAATAATCAATTCTAAATTATACCAGCATATTCTACAGAATGTTAGATGTATATCCATCAGTCTGACAGGAAATAAATATGAATCATGCAGCATAATGATCCTAAATGCATCAGTAAATTTAGAACACAGCGAAGCCAAAGAAATTTCATGTTTTGGTCTAACCAATTCAAGTCCCTGACATTAACCAAACTGAAAATGTTCTCAGAGGACCTCAAGTGAGCAATTCATGTAAGACAGCTCAAAAGTATCAATAAGTTCAAGGAGTTCTGCAAATGGGCCCAAATCCCTCCAAGTCTACTGTCTATTGATGAAAAGGTTCAAGAAACATGTGATTGAATCATTACTGATAAAGAGGTAACATGGTGTCATAAACTAATCTCAGTGACTTACAAAAGCAATAAACCAAATATAATCATAAAAAAATATCTAATTTCAAATCATTACATTACACAACTTCTAATATTTATATCCATAGATCTGGGGTGCAGATAATCAACTGGATATTATCTGTATATTCATAAGACTTTGGGTACAGTACTCCAAAGGGTTGAATAATCTCCTAGCAGTCCTAGAAACCTCTAAGGCTAAATAGAACTTTGCTAGCACATCTAGGCTGGGGGCACCTTATACTGGAGATCCCCAGGGTTCAACTTCTCAAACTTATGTAATCCTTCAGAAAGGTTTAGAACCACTGTGCAACAGTCACTTCAATATCCAATTCAGAAGAATAACAAAGTAACAAAAGCTTAAAGATCTTTTAAGACAAGTTCATTTCCTACTTATGTTTTGAGACATATTGTCTATAACAGTTTCCATGCCACACTAGGGCCTGAACTCAAATGTTTTGTTGGTGTAGTTGTCTGATATATATAATTCAAGATAACTGAAAGGATACATGTCCCAGAGTCTTCTTGGCTTCTGAGTGATTTTAGATACTAAATGTTTGCTAACACATCACAGTGATTATCTAATGGATCTTTTAATCCACCTTGGTCAATTTAAAAGATGCTGCTGGGTGGCACTCAATAAAAATTGAGACATTTCTCCACTTTGATATCCTTACCTTCATAATATAACCCCAAGCATAGGTACATATTTGTGTCCAATTAAATTTACTTCGTGTGTTCAGCCATATATTTCCAGCTGCCACTTCTTCAGCTCTTGCAGTTCCTCAGTAAACCAAGGAGCTCTCTAGAACTGGCATACAGGGAGAGGCCAATGAGGGCAATCTTATCAAAAGCTCTCACTGCATTCTTATTGCAGAAGGGGGGCAGGTTCTCAATAGCTCTACCCTTCAGATTGTTGGGAAAATCCAAATACAAGTTTTGAAAGCGAACTGGGTCCATCAAAAGTCCAGAGTGGATTATTCAAATAGATCCAATTACTTTGTGGAGTATCAGTGTACCCCACTGGGTAGGGACATGATCTGTCCATATCAAGAGTTAATGTTAGCTCAATGTATTCAATAAAGACAAAAATAAGTTTTTTGTGTTGGTAATTTAACTAAAATGCATATGAAGATCTGATTATACAGGTAGTCCTTGACTTATGACCAGAATTGAGCCCAAAATTTCTGTTGTTATGTGAGACATTTGTTAAGTGAATTTTGCCCCATTTTATGTCCTTTCTTGCCACAGTTGTTAAGTGAATCTCTGCAGTTGATAAATTAATAACTTGATTGTTAAATTAATCTGGTTTCCTCATTGACTTTGCTTGTCTGAAGGTCACAAAGGTTAATCACATGATCTTGGGGCACAGCAACAGTTATAAATATGAACCAAATGCCAAGCATATGAATTTTGATCACATGATTATGGGGATGCTGTAAAGGTCGTGACTATGAAAAATGGCTGTGTCACTTTTTCAGTGCTGTTGTAACCTTGAACGGTCACTAAATGAACTGTTGTAAATTGAGGACTACCTATACTGTAGGTCATAACATATAAAAAGTACACAAAGTTCACAAACTTTCACCACTGCAAGACAATTTAGCAGTACCACAAAACAGACTGTATCAAGATTCTTTATTAATCAAGAATATGTCCAGAAAAACAATGAGGTTAACAACCAAACAGAATCTACAAATAAAAGTATAAACAATAACTTACTTTTGTTACCATAACCACCACAAAATTCTTTTCATCAATTTTGTATTCATTAAGAGCAGTATCATCATTAAGTATTTTACCTGGAAAAATAAAAAGATAGTTCATATAATGTCAGCATTTACATTAAATATCTTCATGTAAATGTAATCATTTACTCATTCTATGTAGAAATCTACAGATGGAATCAAATAGCACCAATTATTTAAATCTGGTTAACTATTTAATTATTGAATTCATGTCCTTTTTATTTTGCACAAGCCAGCATTCATTAATGGTCCCTCCTATATTCTTCATAACCATCCTCTGTACAATGCAGTAAGAGAAACTTCAAGCTTCAATTGCTATTATCACATATTAATTAGAAAGGCTTTCCCGGGTAATATTATTTGTACAGTCCTACAGAAATTACTGTTATTGGCCAATTACTCCGACTTCATGCTGTGCCTCTTTGTACATATGACTTATCAGCTAGGATAATTTTAGATACAAATTTAGTGTTCTTTAAGAACTAAATATACAGACTTAGCCTGCCTAACCTATTATAGGCACAGAGCATCTCTCTTTATGTGACCAGCAATTTATCTAATTTCCTCTTGCCATACATTAATAAAGACACATGCATTTTTCCACAAGTTTTATCAAAAATAAACAAATTGGTCCAAACCAAATTGAAAAGGACAACATCCCAACTTCAAGAGGTAAAACAACTGTGGCTGCTGGAATAGGCTAAAAAACCTCTTACTATCCAATACTATTTAAAACATCTTATTCCCAGATTATTTTCCTAATTAAATATTCAAAATGCATGTGCTTAATTCTGATTCTGAAAGGGGCATTTCAGGCTCAATACAGGAGGATTAGGGTTTTTTGGTGGGGTGGGGACATATAGGGATTTATTTACAGGAATTATAGGATTCAACACAGAATATATGTTTTACTAAGGATTGGTAATTATTTGTGAAAAGTATATTTTCATTGTGCTCTTTGGGAGAATACATGTCAGTTGCTCAGCTCTGTCTTATGTTCAGTGGAAAAAGGGTGTGGAAAAAGTATTTTTGCCACAAATAGCAATAGCATTTAGACTTATATACCGCTTTACAGTGCTTTACAGCCCTCTCTAAGCTGTTTACAGAGTCAGCATATTGCCCCCAACAATCCTCATTTTACCCACCTCAGAAGGATGGAAGGCTTAGTCAACCTTGAGCCTGGTGAGATTTGAACTGAAAAATTGCAGGCAGGCAGCAGGCAGAAGTAGTCTGCAGTACTGCACTCTAACCACTGCACCACCGTGGCTCACAAAGATTGAAAAATGGAGAGATAATTATTATGGCTAAAATAAAATCTAAATTAATGTTAATTGATCCATTCTAAATAATCAAAATTAAAAAATTAGGATTAAATTTTATGTCATTAACTACATATTGCTTCTCCAACCCATCCACACACATTCCCATAAAAATGTCATAATTACATTACCTGCATATATTAATTTTTGGCCGGCTACTGGAAAAGCATCTTTTCCCTTTTCTAATTCAATCTTCTCTTTCAATGCTTTCACCTACAATAAATATTTTTAGTTAAAAGAAGTTCGGTAGCTTTCACATAAATCATTAGGATAATAAACTCTTTATGTTAAAAAATGCCATCAAACACTTGATGTTAACTTAACAGTAAATCAGTTGTAACCTATGGAAAGACTATACTATGCAAGATAAAATTAAGCATCAGAAATGAAGTTTTCCAACTTCAAATCCATACACAATAAGCAAAAAAACTGTTGCCTTTGAGAATACCATAACATACACATTGCTTAATCCTTAAAGATTGGCATCCCAGTGTTGGAGGAATTTTGTTTGATCTCTACTGTTTTAAAATAAATCACGAAATACCAGGGAACCCTAGTGACCTCTCAAGGAATTGTATAACCTCTATTGAGAAAAGAATTATCCTATTTTTCAGAGTATAAGACACACCTTCCCACCCACCCAAAAAGTGGGTGAAAATTTAGGTGTATTTTATAAACCGAATACATGCATTTTGGGGGGCCCAAGCCCTCTGCACACTGCATTTTTGCCGTCCCCAGCCCCCAGAAGCACTCTGCAGTGCTCCACAGCCCATTTTTGCCAAAAACTGCCCGTTTGTGGACAAAAATGGGCCATGTGGAAACACTGCAGAGTGCTTCTGGGGGCTGGGAAGGGCAAAAATGAGACGCATAGAGGCCAAAACTATTTTTTAAATTGTTTTTTTCCATAAATTTAGGTGAGTCTAATAGTCCAGTGCGTCTTATAGTCCAAAAAATATGGTATATGATCCCAGAAAGAGGAGTGTGGTGGCTCACGTGCTTAGGACACTGGGTTGGAAGTGAGCAAGCCTACATTCAAGACCCAAGTGCTGCTACATGGTGGGGTGAGCTCTCGCCATTCGCTCCAGCTCCTTGACAAGGACATGAAAGGAGCCCCACAGATGTATCCCTGGGCAACAGTGATATCACAAGGTAATCCTTTCAACCCAGAAACCCTTAAAATTCCTGACGTAAAAGAATTTTCAGAAAGCTGCAAGTGTTTGTCTCCAAATATTCCAGTTATGATTCCTTCATTTTTCCAGACCCAAACAAAGGGTCTTGTCAGTTTGACAATATTTTGTATGACAGTACTACAAAAAAAGTTGAGTTTTGTTCTATTGGGACACCAAACTGTTGAATTTTGTATTACTGGAATAAAATCCAAATAGAAATATTTTATAAGTAACTTCATCAGTTAACTCTACTAATATTCTATGGCAGTGTTTTTCAACCTTTTTTGTGCAAAGGCACACTTTTTTCATGAAAAAAATCACGAGGCACACCACCATTAGAAAATGTTAAAAAAATTTAACTCTGTGCCTATATTGACTATATATAAAGTGTTTTTCCCACGGCACACCTTACACTATGTCACGGCACACTAGTGTGCCGCGGCACAGTGGTTGAAAAACACTGTTCTATGGAACCCTAGGAATTCTCAAACTTTGTGATACCAAGACCACCTAAAACAATAAATGAATCTGTATGAATCTCCATGAATAAACAAATGGTTTAATTGGAGACAGAAAAGGTAAGAAATAAGCAATAGTCCTGTATTATGATTAATTTTAATAATTACATTTCATTATATTTAAATTTGCAATCACACTGCAGCAGGTTGACACACAAAATCAGAACAAAACAGAACAAGTTTTAACAGTGCTCCCATGTTGCCAGTAGAGAACTGATCTGGTTTTTTATTTCCTTCCTTCTTGTATGATTATACAAATGAGGATGAGGTACTACTACTGCTAATACTACTACTACTACTACTACTACTACTACTACTTGAAGGCATCCTGAAAATACCAGGACTGTAAGTTATCTTTAAAAAAAAAAAATTAAATCCTATAAACTAAGAAATTGGAATGGTCATCAGGAATTCAATTTAACTAAAAAGAAACATTATCTTTTTAATTAGCAATTTTATTACAAATGAAATACTTGAAATTAAGGCAGGAACTTGGTAAATTGTTTAGTTTATGTTTTATGCATATTTGAAAATGGATCAATAAAACTATTGAGCTTTTAAGGCAGTAATTTACCTTGAAGCACACGAGTTCTGTAGAATAAACACATAATTGTGCCTCAAATTCCAGAATGAACAATTGATAAAAATGTGTTCCCAGACACAAATCTTAATTTATAAGTAAAACAAAGGACACTCAACAAGAAAAACTTTCATAGACTATAATATTTGTTGTAATACAATTTAAACCACTCCCCAAATAATGAAGTCACATAGTTATTAAACTATAGAAAACATGTAGTTTGACATATACAGAAAATATATGTGAACATACATTAGTTGAGAATTATTTGTAATCTGTTAAACAATACTGGGGAAAATTGTACAGAGACATGCTTCACAACAGAAGCTTCTAATAGATCACAATACTCTATTAAACCTGGCATGAAGCATTAAAAATACAACTTCACTACTTGGCCCACTATTTAGGATATCTGCTAACATTAACATTGAATGTGAAATCAAGATTGAGGAGATTCAGTTTCATGACATTTAATGAGTAGCTCTGAAAAATTACTAATTCTCAGATTAATATTTCATATATTCATTGTGGCAGAAAAATTATATATGTAACCTTAAAGAAAATTGATCCACTAATCTATATTTCTGATTATAGAGGTAAACCAGAAAGGTTTTTAAAAGTTTTGCTACCAAAGCTAAAATTGCATATATGGTCTATATTCCAAAGCATTTTAAATTAACAACAACAAAACCCCAGATTTTCTCTCTGAATATTGTGCATAGATATGAGATAAATAAATGCATCAACATTTCAACAAATTTGCTGAAATTAAATTTCCTGGATCTAATTGAAATCCCACTAACTGCAACGTGATTTTGCAATTTGTACAACATTTTGCAAAATGTACTTTCTTGCTGACATTTGCTAGAATTTCAAAAATCACTCTTGGAACAGAAACCCAGGAAGAGAGGAGGTGTGTGGGTATGGGTGTTTGTGTGTAAACATCTTTCTGAAGTTTTTAATTAAGCTGTTTATACACAATTCCAACATTTTAAAGAAGCTTGTCCTTGCCCAGACTGTGATACAAGTATGTGAACAAGTCTATGGTTAAACATAGATAAGCTGAATGCAGTAGTAATTTAAAGCATCTTTATCTGCCAAACTCCAGCTATTGATAAATATGCAATGTAAAATGAAGAACATATTAAACCATATGCTTCTGTGCTTAAATAACACAAAGAACTTTGAATAACGTGTTAGCACCAGAAGTCAAACTTAATAGTAGTTGAAATCCCAAAGTGCAGAACAGCTTAAACATCAACCATTGCTTTTCTCATTTTTTCACAAATACAGAATTGCCCACCAGACAACAGAAAAGCTCTATTAGTGAAAACTGGAAAACACTAACACTTCCCAATCATCTTTCCAAAGGAACTCACTTTGGGAAAGAAAAAAATATGCATCAAAGCTATTAAGAATAATAATTTATTAAACTTCTAGACTGTCAGATTTTTATTCACCACAAATTACAATAAAATCATAAAAGATAAAATGATAGAAGAGAACAAGCAAAAAAAAATAATAAAAGAGAACAGGCGCAATGAAGCAACTGGTCTCATTCTCTCTCCCTGAAGACATGGGTGAAGAGCCAGATCTTCACAGCTCTTTCAAACAACAGCAGAATAGGGGCCATCTGGTTCTCAGGGGGAACTGTGCTCCAAAGGGTAGGCACTGCAACAGATAAAGAGCGCTTCCGGGGTCCTGAGAGATGAGATTGTTTAATCAAAGAAAACTGGAGTGCACCAACCTTGCAACATCAAATCAGCCAAGCAGATGTTATGGGAAACAGGCGGTCCCTTAAGTAACCAGACCCTATACCATGGCTAAGAAATTACCCTCTGCTATTCAGATTTGCCAATAAGCTTTAGCTCCAAAGGTGCCATTTAGTGCATCTAATGCAGGTAGTCTTCAACTTACAACCACAATGGAGCCCCCATAATTTCTGTTGTTAAGTGTGAAATATGTTAGGGAGTTTTGTCCAGTTTTACGAATTTTCTTGCCACAGATGTGAAGTGAATCACTGCAGTTGATCAATTAGCAACCTGGTTGTTAAATGAATCTGGCTTCCCCCATTGACTTTGCTTGTCAGAAGGTCGCAAAAGGTGGATGACATGAACTTGGGACACGGCAATGGTCCTAAAACAGGAACCAGTTGCCAAGCCTCTGAATTTTGATCACATGGATCGGTCACAAGGATGCCGCGAAGGTCATAAGTGTGAAAAACAGTCATGAGTCACTTTTTTCAATGTCGCTATAACCTTGTACAATCACTAAATAACTGTTAGTCGAGGACTACCTGCATATTCCCAGACTCCCCTTGAACAATGTCAGAATAAAATGGCTAAACACTGCAATACTAATAAACCAAAGGATGATTTAACACTATTATCTCGCTCACGAGATTGGGGATAAGATGAAGGAACATCATGAGGACACAGCAGCTGAATGACAGCTTACTAAACGAACCATTACAAGTGGAGGACTACCTGCAATAAAAGACACTTTATTTCTCCCAGATCTCAGCAGAATGTGATTAGGGCAGCATAAATCGGCAGTTTACCTCCAACGCACACTCCTCTTACTTACCTTATTTTCGATGCAGTGTCCTTTACCTGTCCGACCAAAGACACCCTTTCATCTTTTAGGAGCGAAAGCTGGCCTACCTCCTTGGCCCACCTATTCACGCAACGCGGCCTATTTGCCAACATACCTCGCGGGGGAAAGGGGGGGAGGGGAAGAGAGCGAGAACGCGCTCGCGGGTCCCACGCGCGTTTTGCATCCCCGCCCTCCTCGGAATAACGCAGAGTCATGGCATAGTTCTATTCCAGGACGCTGCAAGGAGCCACTCGGCGAACTCCTCACTCCAAGCCGCTTCGTTCTGAACGACCAGAGCCACCCGGCCGTTCGCACGCGGGGTTGGGGGACAAGGTGTGTGTGTGTGGGGGGGAGGTTGGAATGGTGGCGAACGTTGAGTTTAAACGTCACTTCCCACCCGGGGGGGGGGAGGGAGGTGGATGAGCAGGCGAGGAGACCCGTCCCTTTTCGTCCAAAGTACTCCAAAGCTGCGGCAAGGCCTGGCGCCAAAGAGGAAGCCGCAGCCTCGGGTCGCCAGGGAGGCCTGTGGCGGACGTGCCCGCTTGTCCCTTTTCTCTCCGCAAAGTCCCACGCTTCTCTTCTCTCTCTCTTCCTTGAGGCCCTTCCACGATTCCGGGGTCTCTCTCACCGTCCCCTTCGCTGACAGGCCCCAACTTTTCGCGGCAGAACTTTGCACATCGCTGCGGAAAATGCGCCTGGGGATCCCGTCCTTCCGAATGTGGGTCTTCCACCCACCAGCGCGCCCCACACACAAAACACAACCAGCTCCAACCCGACCTCTCGCCCCTTTTTCCCTCAGGCCGTACGTACCGTCTCGTCGCAGTCGATGTCTATCTTGAAGGTTTGCTGCTGCAGGGTCTTCAGAGTGATTTGCATGGCGGCGGCTGGCCTCTAGGTTCCAGCGGAACCTAACCCCCCCTGCAGCTGCCTCAAGACTGGGTGGCGGCAGCGACAGTTTCTCCCCCCACCCCCCCGGATCCTCTCAGTGCTCTCCGGCCTAGCTTGGCTTAGGCTACGGTGAGAGAAAGGGGGAGGGGCCGGGGGAGGGGCCAAGCAGGAGCAAATACCGTATTCTCGCGCACCGAGTGGGCGTTAATCCACTTCTCGCGCTCCGCTCGCGGCCCAAAGGCAACGGCTGCTCCCGCCGCCGACGTGACGGCAATGACGCAACCGCCTCGTGACCTCCCGCCCAAGCCCCAGGTGAAAGGCTTGGAAAGAGTGCGCAAGAGCGAGCAAGAATATACGACCTCTATCCCCTCCCATCCCCCAGTGCAGGGGAAGAACTGCGCACGCACGAAAATGAGTTTCGGCACAGCGGGATGGAGGGGGGTTGGGGGAAACGGCGACTGAGGGAAGTCGCTCCCCTCGTTGAGGCGGCTTGGCGCAAGAGAAGCGGGAAGGCGGCCGGCGGTGAGGCGAGGAAAACGTTTTGTCATCATCCTGTTCCAAATAATCTTGCTGGGCTTTCTGATTGATTGAATTCCTATCCTCTGAAGCTCAGTGTGAATGGAGATTAACCATCCCTTTATATCTTCATTGCTACCAATTGTGAGCTTCCTTGTCTTTAGAAATCTGGGAATCAGTTTTCTTTAGAA